TTTATGGAGTATAGGTGACTTGAAATTTAAAATTTTCAAATTATAAGAGGAACATAATATAAATCCATCACGATTAATCAATTAATTAATTTTCCCCAAAATTTTTAGAGTTTTCCATGAGATTAGAGCTGGCCCAAGAGAAAGATCACTTACCCCCTTTCATCCAAACCAAAGGGTTGCCACTTCTCTCCCTGCTTTCCTTTCTTTCTTCTTTTATTTTAGGATTTTAATTGGATTATTAATTTATTGGTTTGATGCCTGAAAAGATGATTATTAATTGAAAAAGAAATTAGTTGCCCATGGTGGATAGCAAAACAAGGTGAAACATTTGGTGATCTTCTACATCATCTTGCTTGGTAAGAGAGATGTTTATTTTATCTTTCTAAAATTTATTTTTTTCTTCAAGTAGAATCAAAGTTTCATCCTTCCTGCAAATCCACATACCAACTTCCTAATATTCTCTTGCAAAATCTTGCCAAAACACATCAGAATGTTTTCATCTAAAAGTGAGGCAAACAAAACCCCATCTTAATCATTTAACATTTTGATCACAATAAACCATTTAAAAGTTTGCAAAAAGCTCCAAATACAATCTATATGTATTTCTTTACCACTAACAGAAGTTTGCACACTTTTTGTCAAGTCCTAGATCCATGCACCAAGGTTAAACTCAAAGCTAGCAGCCAAACTTAATTTTTACATGGCTTGGTCTCCATATAAAACCTAGAAAAAATATAAAAAAGGCAATAAAATTTATGAAAATTTTCAGATTACAACTAGACATTCTAAAATTAGTTTTTAAATGTTTCCAAGCCCTCTTGGATCCTTTACACATAAAGCCTAAAGACTAATATTGAGTTTTCAAATTTGGGTATTGACCATGCTTGATAGACCCCTAATTTAAGATTTTACTTAGATTCACTCATTCAAACAGTAACTCATTAATTCTACACCTACTATGACATCTTTTAAACTTCCTAACCCAAAATACACATCAATCCAAAGAAAATCCTAGGACCTCCAAAATAAAAAAAAATAAAAACTTAGCACAGAAAACAGAGATGAACTTCAAGCGACAAAATATTTTGTGAAGCTAGCAATTATTTGTTTCAAACAAAAGATGAAGTGGAGATATAGTTCACAAAAGAGACATGTGTTAACTTCAAAGAAAACATTATCAACATGTTCAAACAAACACATTTTAATATTACCAATAAATAGACCCTAATTCAAAGAATCCAAATGCAAAAGTCTATCTTGTGGTATTATAAATAGAAATGCGCAGTTCAAATATGTTAAAATAAAACAAGCTCAAGATGCTGTGTAAAATAAATCCAGTGGAGAAGACCACTTAAATCAGGTCTTTAAAAGTAAAAAAGTCCATGCAGAATGCATTCTTACTGAATACGGATGATGTATGGCGTTTTCACAAGTTCATGTTATTAACAGAATGATGGTGGATTTAGCTAGGTAAGCCCCTTTTGATTTCACCCCCCTCAACTTTCTATAGTCGATGTTTTAGAATAAATTATTTCTAAGTTTCAGCTCCACTAGACGATATAGATTATCAAATTATAGAAACTTAACTAACAACTCTCGCCCATTTATCATTACAATCATCACATAATGAATTGACTGGTAAATAAATAATTGCTAACTTGCAATTTGACAAATTCCTTTTTTTTAGATGTGGAAACACCATAAAAATGGCCATCTCATGACTGAAAAACAATATATGAAACTCATTCAACCCTATCCTGGTCAGATGAAAAATCTATTTTACTTTTTCAGTTGTTATTCAACAACAGCATCAAGCATATCCCCATGTATTTCTCTCTCATGAAAACGAGTTCTAAGACGTAATATTACCTCTGCATACTAAACAAATTTTATTCATAAAAACATGGTTCCCTAAAATATCATTTATTACTTTACTGGGAAAAAAATATTTGGAGCCATTTCTCATGCAGCCTGGAATCTAGTTTTTATGGCATAATCAATTTTGTTTTCTTTATGAAATTTCCAAAAACTATTTTCTCTATGTTATCATTTACTTTTATACAAGTATCATGTCATGTCAAAGAAAAATGTATAATGTGTACACATTAAATGAGATTAATTCTACTTGTTGTAAATGTATCTTTTTTGCATTTCACTTAACTCTTACAAAGAATATATCCTTGAAGACCGCTTCTTGGTCATGCATTATGAACACCATTCAGTTTATCCCAACTATTTGGAATCAACATTATGAATCTTTCCTCTCCATTAAAATTTATCAAATGATATTTTTGGTGTTAGCTTTATTTTATGCAACTTTGATCCTTTTTTTTTCCTTTATATGCCCAATTTATCAAATGATATTTTTGGTGTTAGCTTTATTCTTTGATCCTTTTTTTTCCTTTATATGCCGAACTCTATATAAAAGAATTATTTGCTCATTTGTTTGCTCTTTGTAATCGCCCAATATCAATCTATTTCTACAATCTTGTACCAAGCGGCATTGTTATCACAGCCTCTATAATACAATCATTTCACTCTTTATCTCCTAATTTCACATGTCCAACTTAACATTCTCAATAATGATAAAGATGATATAAAAAGCAAGGCATCTTATTAAAGAGTGGAAATGACAAGACCTTCCAGAATCCAAACCACCCTAAAAGCTAGTGGCTTCTCACTCATTTGAACCCAAATGTCGATCCAACTATTAACACTACAATATGACAAAGCCCTTCGAACAAACAATGTTCACTTCAAATGCTAAAACAAGAGAAAGCAGTAACCAATTCTACCAAGTATTTGAAATTAATTAGAGACAAAAAAACTCAAACTTAAGGCTCTGACTTAAACACCATATTAAAAATAGGTGAGAATATAGAAAAACATAAGCTTAAAGCACATTGATTCCTTATATATTCCTACGATTAAAGTCTTAAGCTCAAAGCACATTGATTCTTGTTTATTCCTATGATTAAGGTCCCATAAGCCAGTTTGTTTTAAAATAAGTATTTGCAAGTGGTTTAACCAAAATTCCAAATAAGAACTTCATCTGATTGTAGAAAAACTTGAGCTCAAAGCACATTGATTTCCTGTTATTCCTACAATTAAGGTCCCATAAACCAGTTTGTTTTGAAATAAGTCTTTGCAAACCAAAATTCCAAAAAAGAGCTTCTTCTTTTCTTAAACTTACACCTTTGGAATTTTATTCCAGTGTTTGTTGGCTATAGAAAGTTTCACAGGTATCCATTAAATATTACTTAATATTTTCCAAACCTATTGAATAAAATAATTTCATACTTGATCATTAATAAATACATAATTAGATTAATTCCTTTTGTAAAACTAGCTTGATAATATTTACAATTATCACACCGAAAATTTTATTTTTTTATCCTTCATTATGCACTTGTTTAGAAAAATATCCCTACTATATTTTTATTTGTCACCAAAATGCTTTTTGGAGCAAAATAATACTAACGAGAGATAATACTTTATATCCAAAAATGATTTTAAAATTTAAAATAAATAATCTTTTTTCTTTATCGACGCCAATTACCTTTCTATATTAACAACAAATTTACTCAATTTGAACTAAATTAACCTAATTCTATAATTAAGGATGATTATTTGCAATTGAATAAACCTCAGATAGCTGTGAATAAGTAGTTTGAACTGCACCATTCAATCAATAATATTTTTTATACATCCAAGTTGAAACAATTGGTTTGGACTTAATTGGTTTGTGAGTTCAAGAATTGAATCTTAGTCGGTTTGAACTTGGCGGGTTTGGAAGCCAATCATTCAAAAGTTTATCGAGTTTCTTAAATTTATATTAATTATTTAATTTTTAAATTAAAAGTAAGGATTTAAAAAGGTTGATGAATAGAAATTTCATTGATGCTCAAGATTCTGCATGTCACTATTCAAAAGTTTATTAATGCTATAATGCAAATTTCAAGTAAAGGATAAAAAAATTAGTGAACCCATGATATCTTAGTAGTAATCACATGTTTATTGTTCGGCTTCAAGTACTAGAAAATATTGGCATTAAAATTCATTGCCCGACACAAACAAAAAAATTATTTTATACGGTTCCGTTTGAAGTTGGGCGCACAGAAAATATTTTCAACTTATGTGATTCAAAGCCAAGTTTGAACTAGGCACATAAATTTGACTTCTTTAAAAGGGTTCCTCGGCAAAAAATATTCAAATCTTAACATACAAAAAAGGTTATTTAAATGTGACTTAAGAAAAATCAATGTCTATAGAAAAAGATAATTCACATTGATAAAATAAATTATTCAGCTTAAATTTTATAGGGTATCCACAAATATAAGGATTTATACCTTATGAGGGTATTTTTATCTTCTGTAGAGAATGTTTTAATAAATATAAGTATGACAAGAATATTAGCGCAAATAGAAGCATTATGAGTGATAAAAAGTGAAATTTGTCTTCTTTCTTTGCAATTAATTCTTAAGAAAATGCATGAAGTTTGACGTAGAACTAAGATCCAACCACTAAAGGACGCTTATGTCAAAACAAACTAATCTTAGGTGTGCACAACTTTCATGATGCACGTATAGCAAAGTTAGTGTAGCAAATTTATGAATTTATCTACATGTAATATAATAATACCACTGAGCTGGTAAATATAATTCGAACACATGTCCAACTCCTAGCTAAAAAATATCACCGGAAGTAAAAAACATATAACCAACTCCTAGCAAAAACTCTTACTGGAAGTACAAATATCAAGATCGTCTCCTTCAAAACTCTCCCCAGGTAAAAAAACTACAAGCCAATGATAACCACCAATTCTCATAATCCTCTGCCAACCTAAACCCATCCCACAAGAAACCAACCACTTCAAATTCTGGCCAAGGAAAAAAAAACACCTCATATTCTCCCAAATGCATTTCTAGCCTATTAAACACGGCACATACCACACCGAACATCCGGATCACAGACAAAAGATAGGAGTTCGAATTCATTACCTTTTCCATTGGTAAGGTCGCGAAGGCGGTGACAATGGCAGCGAGGAGAAGAAAAAACAGAGAGATCCGGAAGATAGAGGACCAGGAGACAGCCATAGCCAACAATCTGCGACGCCACGGTCTGCAATCCTCCTCGTCCTCACCCCCAAAGTTGTACCCCTGCTTCCTGGCCCGTAGTGCTCCAATATTTGCCAGATTTCTATCAACCCTTATTCCTTCTACCTCATCCGCCTCTCGCAATCAAACCCAATTTGCCACGCCAATTTCAGCTCCTTCACGAGGAAACGCTCGACGAAATGGGAAAGTAGGAAAAAGAAGACGATGGGTTTCCTTCGCTACACCGCTTCAGCTTATTTTTATCTTAATTTAATGCTTAATTTAGATATTACATATATAAAAATATGACTTGAAATTTACCAAAATATTTAAATTTACAAAAATTTTATTGTGATTTCTAAAAAACTCCCTTTTCATGGCGCACGCAGCGTTGTGTATCTAGGGAGGTTATTCAGAGAGGTTATTCAGAGGATATTAAGGTTATTCAGAGGATATTGGAGGGTTATATCTGTATTATACCCATGTAACCTACCAGTAACCTACTTGTACCTCCTAGTAAGTTTTACTCTTCTGTTTTCATATATTTGTAAGTTATAGGAGTATAACGTGGATATAACCTTATAATACTCTCTAAATAATACATCTTACGCACGCAAATTTTTCTCCTTTTCATGTCACCTTTTTTTTTTTCTTTTCGATGTCCATAATTTGATTTTGAAAAACTTTAATAAAGCAGAATGTTTAAATTAATAAAGATTACGAGGAAATTGTCATTATAAAAAATTTAAACTTTTTCTTTTAAATTCACGAAGTCATATTGCCCATGAAGTCTATTAAGTGCAGCCTAATCAAGGTCAAACTCATGAGTACATTTACCCGCTAGAAAAAATCGAACTACTCAAGCTTGTTAGCTATGGGATTTTTTTTTTATTTTCACTTGAATTTATATATGATTTATGGGAAATTGTATTTCTTTTGGATGAGGACTCCAAATAAAACCTCAAATATTAAGTTCTGATTATGAGTTGGATCAATCATTTTTCTTTATTAAGAATGAATGGGGCCTTGGTAAAAAAGTATTAAAAAACAAAAGAATTGTCCATTCCACTTCATCTTGGAGAGTCACGACTCAGCTGGAGACTTGGAATTAACGAAGGCATATACAAATGATTGGACAGTAAAAATTAATTTTTTTTTATATTCATTTTCAATAACTAGTTATTAATAAATGAAATTGTCACTAAATAAATTTAATTAAAACGGTATAATTAAATTTGTCTCCTTACAAGTGATCGATGTATTTATAAATATTTTCTCGTCTATCATTTATCTTTTATTTTTTTTAATTATTTGCTTGTATATTTCATGTTATTCAATGTATCTTACTATATCAATAGTATATAGGTATATATCATTCAATGTTTGTCCAACTGTCGCATGTGAGAAAATATTACATCCTGAGTCCAAACGTAGTTGTGTGTTCGTACTCCAATGAACTTTCGTCACGTGTATGTGGTGGACCCACTATATAAAAAATAAAAAAAATCTTTATTTTAATGCATGACCCAACACAAATCAGTTCATTACTTCGAAAACAAAACCCCAAGCGTTGAATCATTCTCAGCACATTTCTTCGAAAACAAAATCCAGCGTGAGGTGACTGTTTTTTTTCGTTTTTCCCTCTTTTATTTAAAAAAAAGTCGTCAGACTGTCGATCGTCGTATACTTCACTTATTCGAATAAATCTCCCTCCTGAATCAGATAAATGATTCTAAGAGGTGGGAAACTAAATAAAAAGGGACATACGACAAAGCGACAAACAAGAGAAAACACAAAATGTGGGAGCCTACGTGCGGTAAACCTCGCAAAGATAGGTTAAGAGTGTTTGCCCAAACAAGATCGGGCGAAAACACCTTAAATTAATATCCGCAAAAGAATACATACACAGACTACCCATAACCAGAGAGTCAGGTGTAGGTGTCGGTTCTAAGGTCAAAAGCACTCCCAATGGGATGTATCCCACTTGATTAATTACATTTTGGGGGATCCCTATGAACACTCTCGATAAAAAGGAGTTTTGTTTAAATTATCATGAACTTGGGAAATAGGTACTCAAAAGAAGGTTATTCCGTGTGGGAACAGTTTTGATGCTTCAAAACTCGCACTAAGTCATCGGGCAGAGAGTGTCTCTCACATTACGAATGGGTAGCGACTCATCGGCACGCGAGGCCCACGAAATAACCTAAATCATCTTGACGGGGATATTCAAACATGTCAAAGCACGTCCGGGCCAAAGGGTGAAGGACAAATCGTCGTATCCCAAATGGGCAGCAACTCATCGACATCGAGTCGTCAAAGTGATATCAACAAAATCAAGGAGCGACAGGACTCAAAGGGGGCTCAACAATAGGAAGGTAGAGTGATCCTAAAAGGTAGAGGTAACTGGGTCAAGGTACCACGGACCCGTCATCCACAACTATTATGACCCTAAGTCCATCTAGTCGTGAAGGCAGTCGACCCAACACGTCCTGAGATCCCCGGTCCCGGTCAGCAATCT